GCCTCCACGCGTTGCGTTTTCACCCTCCCCAGCCCCCAGAAGCACTTTGCAGGCCAAAAACAGGCCCATTTTTGGCCTCCTAAACCTTCCGTGCATCCTGTTTTTGCCAAAAACACACCCATTTTTGGCCTGCAGAGTGCTTCTGGGGGCCAGGGAGGGCAAAAACGTGATGTGTGGAGGGTTCGGGAGTCCAAAAACGGGCCTGTATTTGGTCTATAAGACACACTGAAATTTTCACCCACTTCTAGGGGGGAGTGCATCTTATACTCCGAAAAATACGGTAATTGTTTTAAATGTCTGCATGCTCCTTATAACATAAATCTTTGTTTAGCATTGAATTTCATGTTAAGTTTATGAGAATATTTCATTCGAGGATGCAAGGGTCACCGGTCTTCTCATTTTATACATTGACAATATAAATCTTTATTTAGCATTGAATTTCATGTTAAGCTTATGAGAATATTTCATTCGAGGATGCAAGGATCACCGGTCTTCTCATTTTATACACTGACAAATTAACTTCTCTTTTCTCTGAATTGATTTCTAATCTCCGCAAGCAATTTCCTTAAGACACAAAAGTAAGGCCTTTTTAATTGGCTAGAGTTTAATCTCAAACTACATTGCTTGAATAGATATAGTGCTACCACCTATGACTGTTTCAGTAAACAGATTGTATTACTAAGCGCTAAATATATTTGTAAAAAAGGGCAGTGCAAGAGCTCACTGTTTAATCAGCACTAGATCCTTCATGTGCAAGCAAATTCTTCTTACACAAATAACTGCACAAGCATCATTTGAAACCATATTTTCAGATTTTGCACCTTGTCAGGACACCTCAGTTAGTTTTAAAGAACAGAGAAATAACACTTGGGCTGATCCTACTGGTTTCATTTATTATGAAACTTAAAAGCTTGAAAAATCAAAACCATTTAGTTCAGGGGTGTCAAACTCAAGGCCCACGGCCCACATCCGGCCTGTGGGGTGCTTAGGTCTGACCCGCAGTGCCGGTCTGGAAATAGCAAAAGACCGGCCCGCGGTCCCTTAGCTAGCAAAAACGGAGTGCAAGAAGGGGCACATGGTCTCTCGCGCCCCGTTTTCAGCCTGGATGGCCTCCTGCAGCACTCTGCTAGCCAAAATGGGGCATGGGCATTTTGGCCAGCAGAGTGCTGTAGGAGGCGTCTGTTCCGTCTGCCAGCTGTCCTGTCTCCCCCTCAACCAGCCAATGGAGGACAACTACAATGCTGATCCTCAAAGAAATCCAGTTTGACACCCCTGATTTAGTTCAACTTGGTTCAAAAAAGTCTTTAATTCAAACCACACTGATAAACCAACCAATTTTAAAAATGGAGATAGGATTACAGATCTAAATGTCTGGGCTAGTGTAGGACTCATTTACAGACAGACAGTTGGCAAAAGCTCTTTCATAGCAGGATTTCAGAAAGCAAAGGGAACAATTGCGTACATTAACTGTCAAGAAAATTGTTTTGTAATTACAGTGGGTGACTGTATCTTGCCTGGGGGAAAAGACTTCGCTTGTCTTCTTAGTACAAAGTTATTTTGGTTGTTATAAATTATTTTTGAATGCTAATGAATGCAGCTGAATGGCAGGGCTGTATTTTAAATTTGCGAAAGCCCTTATGCCAGGGTGCCCGAAGCATTGCCAAGATATATTTATATGTACTGAGAGATTTATCAGGAATTCATCCTCTCTATTTTAGATAGGGTGGCTGCATACAACGCTATGCCCTTAAGGCTAATAACAATAGCTATGCCCTCTACGTAACATAGTGTGTGGGACATTTTTGCATAGTGGGTATTTTACTGAAAGAAATGTGCTGTCTGAGGAAAAAAATTTGAATGGGCAAAAGTTCAGTTGCTTCAACAATCTATAATTTGAGACCTATACACATTGCTTCAGTGGAACCAACTATGAATAAGCAAATTGGAACATGACGGATTATTTTATGCAATGTATTTGATAGTCCTTTTGGTGATTCGCTTTCTTTTAGATCTATGCCTTAGTAACTTCAAAACCCTGCGAAATCATTTTCTTTTAGCCTTGGTTTCCCACATCATTTTTTGTTTTTTGTTTTTTTTGTTTTGTTTTGTGCTTATCTTCTATTACCACCGCCAATCTTTTCTAGTCAGGAAACAGAGCTGCAGCCTTAGATGTGGTTAAGCCTGATTCTGATCCACTCTTATAATAGTTACTAAAACTGACAAGGGTTTCACAAGCTCAAACGTTTAGATCCTTAATTTTCTGTATCTCTTCCAATAGCTAGAACTACAGTCTTTGGGGACTCATACTTAACAATCGGCTGTATAAATTACAGAATCATGAACTCCTTCTTCTTTTTTTTAGTAGAATGTACTAAGTGGGAGAGAGAGAAGAAAAATTAAAACTATGGGAAATTAAAACATGAATTGGGAGATTGAGCTTTTCTTCTACCATCTTGCTTTCCTCAAAATGAAATATGACTATTTTCACTACACACTGTAACTTGCCTCTTCAGATTCCCATTACTGGCTGAACAGTTTCTCACAATTAGAAAGGAATTTGACAAAATGTTTCAAGTAGTCCTTGACTTATGACTGTAATTGAGCCTGAAATTACTAATCTAAATCATGCTGGTTGTTAAGCAGGTCATGTGACCAACCTGATTTTACAAAATTTATGTGGCGGTTGTTAAGTGAATATAGTCATTAAGTGAACTTACTGTCTGCAATGGGCATTTTTTGCCGGAAATTGGAAGCATTTAGTAATAGCACTTAGACTTATATACCACTTCACAGTGCTTTACACCCCTCTCTAAGCGGTTTACAGAGTCAGCATATTTCCCCCAACAATCTGGATCCTCATTTTACCGACCTCAGAAGGATGGAAGGCTGAGTCAACCTTGAGCTGGTCACAATCCAACTCCTGGCACTGAGCAGTGAGTTAGACTGCAATACTGCATTCTAACCACTGTGCCACCATGCCTCCTGTAAATGCCAGTTCCAGTCAAAAAAAAAGTAATAAATTGAAGTCATCTGACCACAGGATACTGCAAATGACCATAAATGTGGGCCTGTTGCCCAAAATGAGATCACATGACTGTACACAAAGCACAAGGAATGCTGCTTGTAGTGAAATCTAGCATAAAGAACTCTCACATCTTCTGTTAACAGATGCTGCGATTCTTTCAATTCAGATATTGTGTACTATTTGGTTTAATGCAATACCATTAGCACTGCTGCAGTATTCTTGTTGCAATACATCATGCCTTTATATAGGTTTAAGGCAGTGATGAAATCCAAATTTTTTTACTACCAGTTCTGTGGGCGTGGCTTGGTGGGCATGGTGTTGCTTGGTGGGCGTGGCAGGGGAAGGATACTGCAAAATCTCCATTCCCACCCCACTCTGGGGCCAGCCAGAGGTGGTATTTGCCGGTTCTTCGAACTGCTCAACATTTCCGCTACCGGTTCGCCAGAACCTGTCAGAACCTGCTGGACTTCACCCCTGGTTTAGGGGTAAAACCTAACTAATTATGTTCTCTATACTTAGAAATAGCACTTAGACTTATATACCACTTCACAGTGATTTACAGTCCTCCCTAAGCAGTCTACAGAGTTGGCATATATTATTATTATTATTATTATTATTATTATTATTATTATTATTATTATTATTCATATTTCTATGCCGCCCACTCTCCGAGGACTCTGGGCGGCTTACACCAAAGACAGTATACTAAATAGCATATTGCCCTCAACAATCTGGGTCCTCATTTTACCCACCTCGGAAGGATGGAAGGCTGAGTTAACCTTGAAAATCAAACTGTTGGCAGTCAACTGAATTAGCAATAGCACTTACACTTCTATACCACTTCATAGTGCTTTACAGCCCTCTCTACAAGTGGTTTACAATGCCAACAATGTAGGTCCTCATTTTACTGACAGTCAGCAAAATTAGCCTGCAATCCTGCATTCTGACCACTGCGACACCACAGCTCATGTTTATTATATTATAAATATAATATAATTATAATATAAAAATACACTTATATATGTACTATACGTATGTTTTACAAATCCATATTGTTGGTAATGTAAGTCAAGAACCATAATATAGTTGCAAATTTAAAAAGAAAATGAAAATTGCAGTAGGATAAGAACAAAAGATGTAGGGGAAAGTCATTAAGTACAGAAAAAGACCTGTATTACTACAAAGGATAAAAAGAAGAAAACTGTGTGGAATATAGAATAGAAAATGCTTGGTTGGAAAGATGAAAAGGAAAAATTTCCACAACAGGTGAATCTTTTTTCCCCTAAAAAACATCTACAATAGAATGAGCTTTGCTGTGCATTTAAATCTTCAATAAGTAAAGATAAAGGTTCCCCTCGCACATATGTGCTAGTCATTACCGACTCTAGGGGGTGGTGCTCATCTCCGTTTCAAAGCCTAAGAACCAGCGCTGTCCGAAGACGTCTCCTTGGTCATGTGCCAGCATGACTAAATGCCAAAGGCGCACAGAACGAATGCTGTTACCTTCCCACCAAAGGTGGTCCCTATTTTTCTACTTGCATTTTTTACGTGCTTTCGAACTGCTAGGTTGGCAGAAGCTGGGACAAGTAATGGGAGCTCACCCCATTATGCGGCACTAGGTATTCGAACCGCTGAACTGCCAACCTTTCAATCGACAAGCTCAGCGTCTTAGCCACTGAGTCACCACGTCCCTAAAAAATCTTCAATAGTCATTCTTAAATTGCTGTGAACTGTCGAACATTGCAGCTTGGTGTTTACTGTCTTTAGCACTCTCAATTTATAAGTCTGGTTTATAAAATCAAACAAGCTCCTTCTATATAGATCTGCCCAGATCACACTTTTATAAACTAACTTGACTTTTTTACGTTTATAATTTCAGATAGAAAGCGCAATCAATGAATTACCGAGGAAGCACTTTTGAGACCTTTAAAACAGGAAGAAGAAGAGGAAAATAACCTGCCCTAAATCGACCTACCCATTTTGCTGTTTACTGTCACCCTGGTTCTCTCTGGATCCACTTTGCTGTCCCTCTGTCACCTCTGGGGCCCTTTCGCTGAATGGTGCATTGTGTGGGGATTGCCATGGGGTATTAACGGTAGGCTTTGCGGCATTCAGCACAGGGCAACGTTGATCAGCATTAGCTTTGAGGTTAACATGCGCTCCTGAGGCAGTGAATGGGGGAGGCGTGACAGTGGCCAGAGGTGTAGGGGAAGCACGTAATGGAAGACTGGAACTGGCAGGCGTGAAGGCAGATGACGGTGATGGGATGGAAGTGACCTTGGAGGAGGACACAGCTCCAAAGGGCCTGGGAGCCTTATTGAAGGCCATGCTGGTTGTGGATGAAACTTTGGGCACGGCTGGAGATGCAATGGGCACAGGCTTAATTAGGTCCTTGGGCTCTACCTAGATGAAATAAAAACAGGAAAAATACACAAGAAAGCCACACACACACATGCACACACACACATGCAAAATGTATCCATGACATCTGCAGCGGTTTTGTTGTGAAACATGACTGACTGGCACGACATTGGCCGTAAAGCATTGACCTGCCAACATCACACAGCATGCGTCATTGAAAAGAAAAACAAAAACAAAACGACATGCGTGAGCTGGTATCTTTAGATTTATTTTAGCCAAAAACCTTCACTGTTAAACTAGGTCCAACAATTAGGAGAAAAGTGCAGTCCTCCAGTGCAAGGGTTACAGACAGAATCCTCATAGTAAGATTTTTACTTACTAAAGGATTATGTGTCTTAGGCAGGTCTGTATTGGAACAATGCCCCTCCTTTCCAGTGACAAATGACCAATATATATATATATTAAAAGTTAGTTTCAAAAGTAGTTTGAGGTCATTTAAAAACTCTGACACCAGGGAAAAAGAAATAATTTACAAGTTTTATTACACATAATGAGGCTCTGGGTGTTGCTAAATCTTACCTTCTCCTCATTTAAAAGCTATTGCTATTTTAGTTTAACTTAAAGGTAAACTCACATATTTTGTTTGGAAAGGGTATCTTTGCTACAAAATAATGTGATAGTGTGTCTTCTTTTAGTCAGTTCTTTGTACCACAATAGCAGTGGTGGAATTCAATTTTTTTTACTACTGGTTCTATGGGCGTGGCTTGGTGGGCGTGGTGTGGCTTGGTGGACGTGGCAGGGGAAGGATACTGCAAAATCTCCATTTTGTCCCTACTTCTGGGGAAAGGATATTGCAAAATCTCCACTCCCACCCCACTCTGGGGCCAGCCAGAGGTGGTATTTGCCGGTTCTCCGAAGTACTCAAAATTCCCGCTACCGGTTCTCCAGAACCCGTCAGAACCTGCTGAATAGCACCCCTGCACAATAGCCATCAGACTTGCTGAACATGAATTTTATCTGTAATGTAGTTAAGCAAATCAACAGGCATCTATTAGAGATCACGTTCTACTAAGGAAAGCAAATCTTTCTGCATCTTTACAGATTCCTCTTTCTAATTGTGTAATACCTTTAGAGATCTGGCAGAAAAAGTCTTACATTAAGCTACCTTTTTATAAAAGGTAACGGTAAGGGTGAAGATAAATATTTTCTCTGTCCAGTCAAGTCCAGCTCTAAGAGATGGTGCTCATCTCTGTTTTTTAGCTGAAGGAGCCAGTAGGGTCCTTCCGTGGTCTTCCCGTGGTCATGTGACAAGCATGATTATATGCTGAGCCACACGGAACACTGTTACCTTCTCACAGAAGTGGTACCTATTTATCTAATTTCATTTGCACCTTTTTATAAAGCTCCTACTAAACATGCTTGTAATCAGTTACTCTTAGAATCTTAAGAAATGAACAGGGCCTTTTAAGAACATGGCTAATCTGTACAAGTAGCAGCATTTTGTTAACTTTTATCTAGGCTTGGAAGCTAAACTGGATAGGCCTGGTTAGCACTTGAATGGATAATGATTAGGAAATTCCAGGATGGTAGAATAGATCAGAAAGGGTGGGGGGGAATATACTGGAATGGAAACGTTGTGCAAATCATTTCTTCATTGTTACAAAAAAAAGCTGTGGAAGGGTGACCATAAAATCCCCAGGACTTCAACTCAAAGAAAAGTCCATGAACTACAATAGTTATTTCTCATGTTAGTCCTTGTTTTTGAAATACTTAAAACTTTTTATATTGGTCGCTTATCATTCGATACAAATCTGGCCAATGCCAAAACAGCAGCAGTAAGGAAGACTTTCAAAGCCAAAAATTATACCTGAGCACCAAATTTTTAGATAAAAGAAAATAGCATATTTCAAGGATTTCAAAATAGCATGTTTCAATGTATGTCCCAATGAATGAAATGGACATACAACAGAACCATGTTGCATCAGAAGAGCTTTTCAGATTGACAGCATTGATTAAAAGGAGCATTGAGAAATGTGAATTACGGTAATAAATTGGCTACAACAGGAATTCTCCTGTATTTAGGGACTGGGGAAGAACCCCTTACCTGTTGCACAGGAATTGGATCTGGCTTTGGAGCTGCAGGTGCTCTGAAAAAGAAAAGGAAACAAATTACATGGCTTCTAAAGCAAATTTACCCCCACAGTCCCATAGGGTCAATTACAATTTAGCTTCTAAAATCACAATGCAGATCAAACACTTTTTGAAGCCCCATTGACTTAATTCATGCTTAATAATGCTAATCAGTGGGACTTGTCAGTATGGCCAAACTTACATCAGCTGTTAATCAAAGTCTTATTTCAACATCCAAAGATCAGTAGATTGAAGAGCAAAGCATCTACACCCAGCAAAGCAAAACTGAAGAGCAAACCAGCTGCATCCTAAAATTAAGCAAGAATGGCTTTGTATATTGAATGGATTTATAATTCAACTGGCCCATGCATCAATGATAAAACGCTTCCAACGTATTAACAAAAACCACACGGCTTGCAGTTTGTACAATAGTGACAACGTATATGGCATCATCTCATTTATCCAACTGGCTTTGCTTCCTTGCTGCATGCACAGACCACCTATGAATTAGTCCTAAAATAAACTGAAGGAGAATTTTGGAGGTTGCTACGTGAATAAAATCTTTAAAAGTACAGCCTTTTTCCCATGCATTTACATTTCAGTTCCTTGTACATCACATCTTTAAAGATGTGTCTGATTTTTTTTATGATGATGATTATTCTTCTACTTTTCAACCAGCTGTCATACTTTCTTAGAAAATGTTCACATATAATATACATATTTATATATATTAAAATATATAAAATGTCTACAGCAGTTTCCCTTTACAATACATGTGCTGTTTCAGCTCTAAAGTGCATGTAAGTTGCAACAATTCCTTGAAATGACTTCCAAAATACATGACTGGGACCAGGGATGGGATTCAAAAATTTTAGCAACTGGTTCTCTTGCCTGGTTGCTGGATGGGTGTGGGCGTGGCCTTCTTGGCCTCCTGCACCATGGCGGGAAGGGGGGCGTTTTCGCCCCCACAAGCTCCAGATGCTTTCCTCAAAAATTGCCTCCCCTAGGCTCCGGAGGCCAGAAACAGGCCTGTTTCCGGACTTCCAGAAGGCCCATTTTTCGTCCTCCCAGAGCCTCCGTGCAGGTGCTGCACTTACCTGGGATCCAAAATGGGCCACATGGAGACTCCTGGGAGGGGCGGGTGGGTAGGACCAGCCACTCCTTGCAACTACCGGTTCGGCGAACCAGATGTAAAATTAGTATCCGGTTCGCCCAAACTGGTCCAAACCGGCTGAATCCCACCCCTGGCTGGGACCCCCAAGATGCAGTAATGATTTGTGGAAAAGATGTCATAAAATGTATTCTTCACCCAGAATATATTAAATTATTCTGGAGATCCTGAGCGTGACCCCAATTTCTCATTAAAAATTAATGGTGCTCTGAAGCTTGATTATTACATTTAAATCACAAAACTGATGCTCAGTTAATCTGATATGAAATAATTTCTTAAGAACACTTGAAAAATTTGTTTATACCTTAGCTGTCTCCCCTTCCCTCTCAACTTACAACTCTTAGCTTCATCCAAACCTTTTTTTAAAAAAAATGGAAGCAAGATTGCTACGGCTGCAATAAAGAAAAATAAAAGAGCTAATGCTGGCAAATACAGTACTGAAAAAAAAAATACCCTGAAAGCAGTTTTCTTACATATTATGGGCTGATTCAATTACTTCCAAACAAAAGCATATTTTTAAATGCATTTTGCGGCTAGATTCCTGAAATAGTCTACCGATTATTTCTCGGGATTGAATAACCCTGAACATTCTTGCCTGCACACACATAGGCACTGATGTGGCTATGAAAACAAAAGTTAATAAACAAAACCAGGCAGCCCTGCCTTGCAGAAATGACAGCTTTTGATGTACTGGGTCCTCATAGATGAACACTGGGCACATTGAACTAAGTGGCTGAATTTATCCATTAAATAAGCCCCATTCACAATAATTAGCTTTGAATGTGCAAAGAGGTTGCCTATCACTATAATTTATAGTATAAAAGTCTGCACCAAGAGAACATATGTGCGGATAATGCCACAGGACATGCCTTCTGTTCTATTACCTCAATCTGGAGTAAATCGTTTCTCCTATTCATAATTTATTTCAGAAAAAGAGGTGGTGCACCATATTAGGATTGCTTTCTTTATATTGGTCGCAGTCAGTTTCAACTTCTCAGTTTGACTAGGAGCCAATAATTTAAGTCAGGGGTGTCAAACTCAAGGCCTGCGGGCCAGATCCGGCCCATGGGTGCTTAAATCTGGCCCGCGAGGCCCGCCTGGAAATACCAAAGGACTGGCCCACGGTGTCTCTGGCAGCCAAATGCCCCCTCTGGGCCCCATTTTCAGCCTGGATTTTCAGCCTCCTGCAGCACTCTGCCGGCCAAAACAGGGTACAAGAGGACTCAAAAGGCTCCCCCATGCCCCGTTTTGGCCGGCAGGGTGCTGCAGGAGGCCGTCCAGGCTGAAAACGGGGTCTGGGGTAGGTCTGTAAGCCCCCACACACCGTGTTTTGGCCAGCAGGGAGCTGTAGGAGGCTGCGTCCCATCTCTCCCCCCCCCCCGCCAGCCTGCAGAGGAGAACTACAATGCTGATCCTCCCTCAAAGAAATTCAGTTTGACATCCCTGATTTAAGTGAATGATTAAGGAATTATTCATGATTAATATAAAGAGCATTATACATTAAATCTGTACCAATGGAACACAATGTTTTCTTGCAAGAATGGAAAAATTGGGAGGAAATAAGCAGTTGCTCTGTGTTCCTTCAGTCTCAATTAACTAATTGGAAATGTTGTATCTGCGTCAGAACCAACCAGATTTTATTAATTCCACAATAAACAGAAGAACAAACTCTATTAAAACAACTCATTTATTATACGGGCATCCTAACTCTATTGAATGCAGTTAATACACAGTTTAATGGCTTTTCAACCACTCAGTTCTAAATCTATTTAATTTAAAAAATAAGGACTGCTTTTTGTGCCTTCATAATACAATCTGCTTAATTTGTCAGATATATTTTTAGCAAAAATAGTCAATGGTTCAGTAGGTCTTAGAAGTACTGATGCAACCATATTTGCTTCTGCTGCAACAGTTACTCCTAACTATCCATTTCCCTTTTAATATCATATGGATATGGATATGGATATGGATATGGATATGGATATGGATATGGATATGGATATGGATATGGATATAGATAGATAGATAGATAGATAGATAGATAGATAGATAGATAGAGAGAGAGAGAGAGAGAGAGAGAGAGAAAGCTAATCAATAAATCCACTTTCTAGCAATATATTAGCTATTTCATATAATGAAGTAAGGTGATTTTCTCTACAGGAAATATAAGCTGGCAAACTCTTTATTCTTTACATGTTTGTTTTATTCATCTTTTCCTGCTAGGTTCATCTTTTCCTGCTTATTTCAGACTTTAAAAAAAAGGGAGAGAATATGGAAAACTCAGCCAAGTCATCCATCCAGCAATCTGGAAATGTTTGCTTCAAGACAAAACTGCTTTGTTTTAAGTCAAAGCTACAACTTGCTTTATAAAGCAAAAAAGCTGAAATGCAAGAGGGAATGGAAAAGGAGGAGCACATCATAACACAATAGTTTTTGAGTACTTGGCTGAAGAAGACAGACATTAGCAACCACACTCAAGCAAATAAATAAATAAATAAATAACATTGGGGTGGAGACTTGGCTATTTTACCATACAATTTTGTTGCAAGCATTATATTCCACAATCTCACAGACAATGCCAATAACTGCCAGACACGCAAATTATCTGAAATTGTTCTATTTCTAAAGGCTGGATCCATTCAACATGCTTCCACCAAGTCAAGTAAAACTCTGCAGCTTTAATAATATGTTGGTTTAAGGATATTGAGGCTTAGCAACAATGCACAGGTATCCCATATAAGTCACAAAGATGACCACGATATCTCCATGCAAATGATTCAATTTACATGTTATTTGCACAAGGACATCTTGACAAATTAAATCAACCCCGCCCTCAGAAGATCATGATTAGCTTAATAGATTACAAAATGCAGAAAACTGGTTAATACAGATAACCAGTATTACCTCTACAGTGGTAGAAAGAGGAAAAACGCAGAACAACCTGTGAGTGAATATATCATTCTGGCAATCACAGTGACAATCCTGGGTGTAACTACAATTGCAGCATTAAGTACAATCTCCTATCAATATTAGCATTATTTTATGATCAAATATTACCAGTTAAACGTCATCACTTCAGTTTTGCTTTTCTCTTCCCTCTCTCAATTCTTTTTAACAGGAACAGATCAAAACATGCTGAATAGAATAGAATTCTTTATTGGCCAAGTGTGACACAAGGAATTTGTCTCCGGTGCATAAGCTCTCAGTGTACATACAACAATAGTGCTAGATCATGATCATAGTCATTGTAAAAACACATTCATCATAAAACATTAGATACAAACTTAGTACTAGTCATGGATACTAAATATGCAATCAACATAAATCATACTAGGATACTAAGTAAACAATATAAATCGTAAAATCCAAGCAACAAAGTTATAGTCATAAGAAGATAAGGAGATAGGGAATAGGGAAGATGAGAATAATAATGGTAATACTGCCTTTCTAGATAGTTTGAGAGTGTTGTGGGAATTAGTTGTTTAGCAGAGTGATGGCATGGGGCAAAAAACTGTCCTTGTGTCTAGTTGTTCTGACGTGCAGTGCCCTATAGCATCGTTTTGAGGGTGGAAGTTGAAAGTTTATGTCCAGGATGCGAAGGGTCCGTAGATATTTTCACAATCCCACTTTCTGGCTTGTGTAGTATGTAGGTCCTCAATGGAACACCACATTTTGACTTTTGTGTTCATTCAAAGAGATTACTCCAATAAAGCCTTTGGATTTTTTTGTCATTACAGCCTACTATTCTTTGTACACACAGTTTGCAAACAAGATCTTTGTGTCTCTCTGTGTGTGTGTGTGTGTGTGTGTGTCTTTGTGTGTGTATGTGATTTACTTTGCAGGAAT